TATGCTAAGTTCAAACTCACGCATCAATTATGGTCTTGGAAATCAAAATCAACGCGATTCACTCAAAACCACTGGCCAATCCAGCGATCAAGAACAATCATCTCCGCAAAGCATTACACGGCATTACACTACACCGCGCTACACCCAGGCCGACCCAGCCGTGCTTACATGCAAACGAAAATATAACCGTTTCGCCAGATTCTACTGTCATTTGATAAAAAGATGTATTATAACGAATTATCTGATATTCTCTCGGAAACTTTCGATATGTACTATTTTTTTCGGCTTTCAATTAATACAATGAAATGTTTACTGTCCGTAGTACAGCGAACAATGTTTAAATGTAACCGAATGTATTCTTATTCTTGCTCGAGAAGCATGAATGAATCTTTTTTTTATACGAAAAAAAAAGTTGTGCAGCTGTGGACCCATGCGGACATGGTGTTCGCGCCTGTACATTTCAATGCTTCTTCTGAAAACTATTTAATCGTTCAGCCTATGATACGATGGCTAGAAACACAACATGGATATTATATTTATTTTCTTTTACTTCTTCTCATTGATTTGCTACAGAGAACCTTTGATTGCATCAAAGTATATAGACAAAATGTTTTCAGATTTAAAATGCGACGACAAATAAGAGCAAAATTTACTAGAAATTCGAAATCAAAGGGTTCAAAGAATATAGATTTTTTTCTATTTCATTTTATTTTTTTAATAGGAATTTTATGTATATTGAAGTCACTTGTTGCTTTAAAATAGGTCTTTTTGTGAATAAAATATGTGTTTTTCAACTAGAATTTAATTCACCCAAATAGTGATAACAGTTCTTTAAGTTTTCGAATTATTTGATCTTAAAACGATTCTTTATTCCATTCGAACTTTTTTGTAAGCCGTTTCTTTTGAACGAAAGAAGTCACACTGAATAGATAATAGAATAGGTATATTCGGCATTTATAATTAAATGTATCACATTGATTGTTATATTATTATAATCTTTCGTTGCATGATGAAATACAAATCAATCAGCATATTGATGATATTTGGTTAAAAATAAACATGCAAATAACAAGTAATTGAAAAAATTAAAAAAATTGAAAAAAACAATTAAATTAAACCATAACGCATACACTTAATGTATTCTTATTCTTGCTCGAGAAGCATGAATGAATCTTTTTTTTTATACGAAAAAAAAAGTTGTGCAGCTGTGGACCCATGTTCACGCCTGTACATTTCAATGCTTCTTTTGAAAATTATTAAATCATCTAGCGTCGTTCAGCCTATGAAGCGATTACCAGAAACACAACATGTTTTTATTGGTGGGATTGGTGGGACTGATGAGAGTAAGAAAAGTGCTAAATTAAATTATACATTTATTTTCGAAATAATTTTAAATATAGAGTACCGTTGCATGGAACGAAGCGAGAAAAATGGATCCAGGCTATCGAAACGTACCAGTCTTTTGACTATTCCTGCGCCAACTACGAAATATGTTCTGCACATTTTAGTCCACAGGATTTCACTCGTAGAGAAAATAGAATGTTGCTAAATTCCGATGCCATTCCAACTTTGTTTCAACCCTATAAAAAAAAGAGGCGAATTGAAATTCCATCATTTAAAGCACACACTTCCGATGATCGCCAGACAACAGAAAAGAAAAAAAGACAAACTTTCAATGAAGCAACAGCTGTCTCTAATATTGATATATCGATTGATGGAAAGGAAAACAGTGCTGACAGGGTGTCATTGCCATTGGAACTTGAAAAAAGCAATGATCAAAGATCTTCAAGAACACCCTTTTCAGCTATAGAAAACCATCCAACAATTTGTGAAGAATGCATAAATCTTCGAATTGCATTGAACAAAGCTGAGGAAAAGATTGAACGATTGAAAAAACGTTGCGGTGATCAATCAAAGCGTTTGAAACAGGCACAAAAAGAGCTTGCACAGATGAAGGAAACTGAACAGCAAAACGTAATTATAGTCTTAATTATAAATTTCAATTGATATAATAAATTTAACGAATGTTCGGTAAAATTACTTTTATTGAAATAAATTCATCTATTTGTCATTACATTTGCATTTGATCGCAGAATTGCAAGAGAAGTTTATATCTTTTCGTATAAGTTCACAATGTTGATTTGATTTAGATTTTAAGAATAATTTTTAGATTTCGGGAATACCATACAATTAGGATCAATTAACTGTATAATCGTATATAACGACTTTTAATTATTGAAGATCGTAAGTTTGTTTCATGATCAGGGTATATAACAAATAGTTGAACATTAAAACGTTAAAAGATATATAAATTATTTTGTTTTATTTTGGTTTATTCTGCTCGTGATGATGATTTTTTTTGGAAAACTGCGCGAAAATTGGTAGAATGTTCTTTTTGTATTTCCACATTTTTTCTTGTTATTCGATTTTAGAATTCAATTGGAATAGGAGACGACAACAAAACCATCACTGAATACCTCCTTGGTTTACGGAAAGGAACAAAATATAATGAAGCCATCAGAAAGTTTGCTCTAACTTTGCGTTATTATAGTCCTAGAGCATACGGTTACGTTCGTCAAAAGTTCAACAATAACCTTCCCCATCCAGATACAATAACAAAATGGTATAGTCAGAGTTCGGCCCAAGTGAAGTCAGGGTTTTTAGAAGCCAATCTCGAAACGCTGGGAAAAATAATCAAGAATTTAAGAGAGGCAGGAAAAACACTTATTTGCGGGATAATCCACGACGAAATGGCAATTAGACAGCACCTACAGTGGTTGAATGATGAGAAAAAAATGTCAGGATTCATCACATTTGGAAAAGTTGATGAAAATTGTTCCATGTATCCACTAGCTTCAAATGTTTTGGTATTTCTTTTGACTGGAATCAATGTAGCTTTTCATTTGCCAATCGCTTTCTATTTTATCACCAAATTGGAAGGAATTGACAAAACAGTTTTAATGTCATTGGTTATAAAGAAATTGACGGAGATGGGTGCGTGTGTTAAGACAGCAACATTTGATGGAGATGCAGCAAACATAACAGCCTGTGAACTTTTGGGTTCTGATTTTGACACCGATAATTTACAACCCGAATTTCCGAATCCTGACGATGGAACTGAAATACATCCATTCCTCGATTATCCTCACATGCTCAAACTTATACGGAATCACTTAGCCAGCAATAAAATAATATTTGATGGTGAAGGTCGGCCCATAAAATGGAGTTGTTTTGAGCAATTGGTCTCTGCTAAAAATGATGGTTTGGTAACACACAAAATGACTTCACGCCATATAAATTATAAGTCCAGAGAGATGAACGTCTCACTCGCAGCACAAACATTCAGTGAATCTTCGGCAGCTGCAATGCAATCACTGATGGATCGAAGATATCCTGGATTTGAAAACGCCACAGGATCAATTGAGTTCAGTAGACGAATTGATAAATTATTCGACATTTTGAATAGTGATTGCCAACGTACAGAAAATCGATTTAAAAGCCCCATAACATCTAATACGCAGGCCGAAATATTTGAATTCTTGGATAGCACAGCAGACTATTTGAAGAAATTGACACTTAAAAAGTTCGGAAATCCCATAATAGAATCCAGTATAAAAGTCGGTTTTAAAGGAATGTTGATCAATATTGTAAATGTCAAGAAAATTTACAAAGATTTAGTGGAAACGAAAAAACTGGACGAGTTTCCCGTTCGAAGAACTTGTCAATGTGCACTGGAAAGCTTTTTCAGTAGGTGTAGATCGCATTCGTTTTTGGGATTCAATACAAATCCTACAGTACAACAATTTTGCGCCTCTATGCGTAAACTCCAGGTCAACAATGAAGTAACCAACTCTGAATTCGCAAATTGCACTGACCATCTGGATATATTTACTGTATCTTCTCATGTTTCCGCCAAACCTACGCAAATCGATAGAAATATCATAAATGAATTTCAATCTCAAAATGGTGTAACCATCCATGAGCCATCGACATCGGCATCACCATCAGCTTTAACTTCTGAAAACGAAAAGAGTTCTATGGAATGGAATGAGAGAAATGGAACAAATGAAGAAATTGGGATAGCCTTTATAGCGGCCCAAATCGAAAATCGAATAGAATCTGATATAAAGTCACCCAACTACTCATTTGCAAAATCTGTATTCGCACAAAATGATAAATTGATGATGAATTTCTTTCCAAAAAACAAAAACAGTCGAGTTCCGTGCCAAACCACATACCAAATATGCACAGTTGCCCATCACATTCTTGAGCCGCAAATTTTAAAGCCAAATTTTAATTATGCAATCATCATTAATAACATCATGTCAGAGATGCAACCCGAATCAATTTTTTGCAAAACGGATTTTTCCAATGTTCCAGAATACAAAATTCAACTCGTTCAATCGATTGCCGATCGATACATATCGATAAGAGCCACATTCATTGCTAAACAAATTACAATACAGAATCAGGATTCAAGAAAAAGAAAAACAAACACTGTACAGCACTTTTTAGGCAAATAATAATGCATACACATTTTCAAATATTGACATGCTTCACTTGTGTGAAATGCACACCTATTTTGAGAGATAAAATCAATTCTTTTAAATAAAAAAAAACTCCAAACCATAATACTGGGATTTCCTGATGTTTCATTTTAAAAAATCTGTAGCATTATATAATATATTCAAAGGAATACTGATTTAGAATAACTGAGAATAACTCTGCCGAATCATAATTTTACTTAAATGGAAAATATGCGTTGCATAATACTTTGTACATTTTTTCGCCATTTCATTAGCTTTTAGTACTCACTTTTTGATGCCTTTTGAATGAAAATGCTTTTGGGTAGCATTAATGAGCTATAATCGAAACCTTGAAAAAATATAAATTGAAGACTTGAAAAAATATCAAACTAAAGACATGATGTTTTTTTCGTCAATAAGATCTTTCATTAAGTTATATATTCATTATATATATAAATTTTGTGATAACGTTATAACAATAATTCTTTTTGATCGTGTTAATTTTTGCACTTAATCATATAAATCCGTATAAATCTGATTGCTATTGCTAAGATATTGCTTTAAATTTAGTATCACGTTTCAAATTGTTTTTGTGTTCAAAATGAGTCTTCGCTACTTCCATCATAACGCAAATCATCGAACTCGTTCACGGCTGGATACGATGGCAACTGAGAGGGCTCTGTCAACCCTAAATTCTCTCTCATTTGGTTCAATTTCTTTTCTGCCTTCGATATGTCTCTCAGCCACTTTGCACGATCACTAGGATCATTGTTCTCTTTGTTGTCATCGGAAACAAATGCCACAGAATCATCGTGTCCCATTATTTCATCCCCATCATTTTCGATTTGTTGCTCTGACACGACCACCTCTCGGTTTTTCCCCGATCCAAACGATGATCGGTGCAATCCATTCAAACCTTAAAAAATAATTGGAGACCAAATATGTGAAAATTCAAACTTAATTCAGTGCTATCCAAACTTTTTTTCAGCTCGGTCATGAGATCGAGCAAATGTCCACTTAAAAAAAAGAACTATGCACATTTTCAAAGTTAGAGTCCAAATTGTTGTTGCGATAATGCATTAAGGAATGTGAAACTAGTGAATGAAGCTGCATTAACGTATAGGGAGCAGAACATACAAAGGAATTGAAGGTACAATGTAAAGACATTACTCGAAGGAATATTAAGAAAATTGTAATCAGATAGCAAACGTATCTATCACTTGTTTCATTTGGCAAACCAATTTCTTCTTTTATCAATGAAATATCGAATTACAAGTGAGTCTTCTTTGCATTCCGTCGCCCGTAGTCATTCACTTTTTTCTCGCGGCCACAAGTGGTCAAGTGGCCAATAGTTTGGAGAGCACTGACTTAATTGCTTTCTTTAAAATATAGCGTGAAATGTACAACTGTTAGCCCATCATTTGAGGGGTTCACAGCTGCACTTTTGTAAAAGGTGTATAAAAAAAACTGACCATCTCGCAAGCTGTTCAATGGGCCAGTCACATTGTCTGGGTCAATATTGTTGTCATCAGGAACAACTGCCGAAACTGTAATTGGATCATCAGGTTCCATAATGTCATTCACATCTTCCTCGATATCCGCCATACGACCTGAGTCGTATTCGAACAATTCGATGTCATCACCGGGTTGGGTTTTGACTTGTTGCTCTGGAACGATCACGTCTTGGCTTTTTACCGACTCAAACGATGATCGGTGCAATCCACTCGAACCTTGAAAAAAATTTGAAAACCGAACATTAAAACCTCATTGAATTTTTTAAACCGTGAGTCTATCACTTGAAGGGTTCACAGCTGCACTTAGATAAACTGTATTTAAAAAAAAAACTCACCATCTCGCAAGTTATTCAATGGGCCAGTCATATCATTTGGGCCAATGTTTGCATCAGGAACAACTGCCACAACTGCATGTGGATCATCTGGTTCCATGATGTCATTCACATCTTCCTCGATATCCGCCATACGACCTGAGTTGTTTTCGATCATATGTATATTAGCAACTGGTAGGGTTCCCGTTTGTTGCTCTGACACGACCACTTTTCGGTTTCTTACTGAGTGAAACGATGATCGGTACACTCCACTTGAACCTTAAGATAAATTGAAAGCCAAAGATTTGAATAATCAAACTACATTAATTTTTTTGACAATAAAAAACATCGTGAAATGTAGAACTGTTAGCCCATCATTTGAAGGGTTCACAGCTGCACTTAAAAAAAATGTGTATAAAAAAAATACTGACTCTCGCGTAAATTATTCAGGACTCCAGTTAAATCGTCTGGGCCAATGTATTTGCGATTCGGCTCGAAAACGCTCTGAGCTCGGCGATATCGCCGTGATGGTTGTGGTTGTGATTGTGGCAGTGGCGGTTGTGGCAGTAGCGGTTGTTCATTGTCAACAGGCTGGCGTCGAACGTGAACTGAATGGCGCCGGGCAATTCGTGCTGCCGGACGCCGTTGAAACTGCATTCGAGCGAGCTCAGCGTTGAATTCAATCACCACTTTCGAATTGAAAATGCGTGGCGTCTCATTCAACTGAGTCAAATACCGCGACATCAATCTTGTGCCTTGAAACAGAAAAATAAACAGTGGTTGACAGCTACACATATCGAAATTTTGTATAAAAAATGAAGAGCCGGGCCAAAGTTTTTATGATTCCCATTTTATTTCATTTTCTCCGATTTAATTCAGATTTCAATCACTTCGTTGCATTGTAGTAGTATGAAGTAATTGAGGTGTATGGACTAACATGGACGAAGCGTATATTAAACACAATTAAACACACACACACAATGAGAGAGAGAGACCGAAGAGCAACAGACTTCGTTCACCGCAAAATGAGCGCATCACATTTATCGCATAAATCTATCTTATGAATTTATTCAACGCGATGGATTTAGCGCATAACAAAGCCTGACTAGAGCAATACAATCTCGCCCAGTTTATTCAAAATTCGCGCTAGATTTGCTGCTGACAAAATGTCAAACGAGAATTTGTGCAAAGCATTTGTCAAAACAGCTTCACACATAAAATCACAAGCTGATTACAACAATTTAAATTCTGAATTACATACACACCACTTGCAACGGGCGTAATTGCACATTCAAGTCAATAAATAAATCGCAGATGTGATTTCATTCATCTCTGAAAATGAATCAAACTCAATTCAATCGACAAAGATAGAATTTTCCTTCGAATTTATATTGATTTTTGAACACAGTTTCCACAGCAAATCAACCGCTCAATAATTTGAGCGTAATATTCAATTCCATGCAGTGTGAATTATCGATCAAAAAAATTCACATTGGAATGCAGTGGCATTGGGTGTCACATTGGTTGTAAAGAAAATTGATTTAAAATTTAAATAGAATCAAGTAAGAATTGCAATGGGATTTCGGTGTGAGAGGTGAGAGCAAGGTAAGAGAGGGAGCAGAGAGACAATGAAGCACATACGAGCGGAATGATTAAGTTACATGTGTTATACATGTTGCCTGTTTATAAATAAACAACGAACTGATTACATTCTTCTCTATTTTTCACATGCATAATTTTTTGTTACGCTTCTGTATCGGTGTTTCACCGCAAAATAAAACACAATTAAACACACACACACAATGAGAGAGAGAGAGAGAGAGAGAGACACACACGAAAAATAAAACAGCGCACTGTTGCTAGTACACACTCACGCACATCTTTTGGTGCTTTGGAATGAGCATTCGATTTTGGTATATTGTTATTGTTACTTTTTGTTATTACAACTGCATATTTCTAATGGGAATAATGTCAATTTTGTGCCCATCAAATGGACCAGTGTTTGCAGCACCAATTTTTTTCGTTTAAAACTATACTATCCACAATAGCCTTGAAAATAATCTTTTTCACTAAATAATTTCAGCACATTGAATTTTCATTCCACATTCAATTCAATTGTATTACACTTGGACAAGGCACTTGGTTTTGCCTTGAATTCTCTACCCAATTTATCAATCGAGTGATGGCCGATTCAGTTCACATCAACTAAAATGTCCATAAAAACACTGTCAATCTGTTGTTGTTGTATTTTCGTTGATTTGGAAGATCGGATGATTAAAATGGTCCGAATGAGAAAAAAAATAGAGAATGAAAATACTTTTTTCGGAGCGTTTGACGCACACGATTCAAGTTTGATTTGTGTATGGAAATGACGATGTAAGTTGAACATTAAAACTGTTGTCCATTCACAGTTCACACAATATTTGTTAAACATTTACTTACATCGACGGTAAATAATTTTCTCTTCGATTTTTATTTTCATTGCGACGAAACAAAACCACAGACGAAAAAATTGAACATGACACTGGTGCATTGACAACCAACAAACGTCACTCAGCGTCGCGATGAGTTCATTCAGTAATGAGTGCGTCTAACGACGAAATAAACTGAAATAAACTTGACTGAATCAACTCATCGCAGATTCGTGTTTTACTTTGTTTTGTTAGTGTGGTGCAGGAGGTGTGACTTTTGATAACACGTGAATGTGCTGATGGTGTTACAAAACCGAAATCAATTGCCGTTTGTAACCCGAGAATCGGCATCGTATCAAAATCAACAACAGCTGTTTTCATTTTGCAAGACATATTTTCAAATTTGCCAAACAGAGAACACATACCGACCGGCTTAATTTTTTCTCCACTGAACGCTCGTAATCTCGTCTTTGTTCGATGCAATTCGATCTCTGTGTCCAACTGTCTGTAAACACTCAGCGGTATTACGTTGATTTGTGCACCCGTGTCGATTTTAAATGCGACTAATTTGCCATCAATCCAAATTTT